AAAACAGTTACTTATATACTACACATTCTTTAATAATTTATTTAAATTTCATTTAATTTTTGGTATACAAAAAACACCAACTATTCCTTGCAATGCTTGACACCGTACTAAAGAAACATATAACACTTACAGAAATATTCTAAACAAATTTGAAGTACTTATATAGATGGAGACAGAGAGGGTATCATTATAATGTAAACAGAAGGAGTGCTATCGCATACAAAATCGATAAAAATGAAAAAACAAATTAATTTATTGAAAAGAATAAGATAAATGAAAAAATTTATAAATTATTAATGATGTTTATATAAGTGTCATGTAAAATATTTGTGTCGGTTCTTAGATTTATGCTATTGTTAGTCCGAACTTAAACGGAGCATGGCAGAATCAATGTTAATAGTTCGGACTAACAATAGCATAAATCTAAGAACCGACACAAATATTTTACATGACACTTATATAAACATCATTAATAATTTATAATTTTTTTCATTTATCTTATTCTTTTCAATAAATTAATTTGTTTTTTCATTTTTATCGATTTTGTATGCGATAGCACTCCTTCTGTTTACATTATAATGATACCCTCTCTGTCTCCATCTATATAAGTACTTCAAATTTGTTTAGAATATTTCTGTAAGTGTTATATGTTTCTTTAGTACGGTGTCAAGCATTGCAAGGAATAGTTGGTGTTTTTTGTATACCAAAAATTAAATGAAATTTAAATAAATTATTAAAGAATGTGTAGTATATAAGTAACTGTTTTTGAAATTACACTGAAGATGAGACACACTATGGTCTCGAAACGTCTGTAATCATAAAATAAAGTTGTGTTAAACAAATCTGAGTGCTGTTTTGTTCATATTAAACAATTAATATTCGTTCCACTCATATCATAAAATTCTATATTATATACTCCAGAACTAAAAATGGATCAATCGTTTTTCAACACAGTTTACAATAAATATGGTTCAGAAGCCGTATACCATTGCAGACAAATAACATCAACTTTCAATGCATTAGCGAAGACTACTAACAAAAGGAATTTCTTAATTAAATGCAAGCACGAAAATGTTTTACCTAATTTTATCACCAACAATTTAACATTCAAAAATAAAAATTACAATAACATACAAAAACTAAATAACAGTCTATTGATCCTTCAGAATAAAATTTTGAAATATGAAATTGCGGACAGTGCAAAAGAAATCAATCGATTAAATAATAATTTAATAATATCCAAACGTGTGACACAGGACTCATTAGAAGAATTAGAATTCGATAAATTTATTTTTCTAGAACAAAAGAAATACCAAAAACTTTTTGATCAGATAAAGAACAAACAATGCAACAAACTTAAGAAACTAATAGAGCTAAGAGACAAAGCACATCCGATTATCAATACAGGTTTAGATTGGAAGAAATGGGTTATAAACAAAACGGATACTCATATACCAGATAATATAAAATATATATTGGCCTTAGGTCCAAAGTTTTCAATCCAACAAAAAAATTTAACATTCAATGATTCAATTAAAGTTATTAGCAGCCTAGAAGCCGGCCTTAAATTAATCAAAGATCCAGAAGGAAAAGAAATCGAACGGATAAGATTTATGTTAATGAAACAATTTACAACATTTCAAAAAACTCACAAAAACAAAGTACAGTGCAAGAATGATACATCTTACATCTACCGGGACATCATAGCTACAAAAAAATTTCTTCAAGATAACAAACAATTATTAGTGTGTAAGGCAGATAAAGGAAACATTTCAGTGGTTTTGTTAAAAGAGGAATATGATAAAGAAGCAAAGAAAATTCTCAGTGATGAATCTCTATATGAAGAATTGGCATCGGATCCGAACAACTATCACCATAGACAGGTTTTTAAATTTATAAATTTATTAGAGAAAAAGGGACATATTAATAATACCATATCATTAAAGTTAAAAGTACAACATTCTTTAACCCCAAAATTCTATTGCCTTCCAAAGATCCATAAACCTAATTGCCCATTTAGACCAATTGTTTCCTACATTGATTCGGCATACTATTTTTTAGCAAAATATTTTTCAGATATTTTAAAGAATGTCACCATAGATTCTCCATACCGTTTAAATAACTCTTTCCAGTTAATAGAACATATAAAACATAAAGTAATTCCTCCTGATTGTTCCTTTATGAGTCTTGACGTCATTAATTTATTTAATAATCTTCCGCATGATCTAATTATTACAGCCATAAAGAAAAGATGGATACAAATAGTTGAATTCACTTGTTTACCGATGGAAATTTTTATTTCAGGAATAGAATTACTTTTAAAAGCATCATATTTCACTTTTAATAAAAAATATTATACGATGAAGAGAGGTTGTCCAATGGGCAGCCCATTAAGTCCTGTTTTGGCGGATTTAGTATTACAAGATTTGGAAAATCATGTCTTAAATTCTTTACCTTCCAAACCTATGGTCTATTTCAGATATGTCGATGACACATTAATATTACTTAATAAAAAAGATATAGATAATGTTTTCAACAAATTCAATGAGTACAATTCTTTTTTACAATTCACTCAGGAACTTGAAAATGATTCGACGTTACATTTTCTTGACGTAAAACTCATTAATAGAGGCGGTGTATGTTATACAGACTGGTACAGAAAAGATAGTTGGTCCGGGAGATACATTAATTTTAATTCGCATGTTCCTCTCAATATAAAAATTTCTACCATTCTAAATCTTGTAGATCACGCTATTTTATTATCTGATCCCCTGTTTTATGATACAAACATAAAATTAGTTAAAACGATCCTACTTGGCAATAATTTTCCATATAAGTTAATTTGTCCAATTATTAAAAATAGAGTCGCAAAATTACTTGAACCTTTTGATAAGAAACCGGAAGAGCCTGGCAAAACAAGTGTTCCTGAAAAAACTTTTTTCATTAATTTTCCATATCTTGACAATAATTTTAACCAATTATCAAAAAGACTTTTCAAAAAAACACAATATTCGTATTACTTTTTCTCCATTAAAACAATTAAAATTTTTATATTCCAAAATTAAAGATGAAACTCCATTAACAAAAAAGAAAGATATAGTTTATAAAGTAAATTGTTTGGATTGCAATTGCTCTTATATTGGCCAGACCTGCCAGAACTTAGAAAAGAGACTCAGGCAACATGAATTACAATGTGAAAAAATAGATAATAAAAAATTTAAAAGTACACTTGTGGATCATGCTAATATCAACAACCATAAGTTTGATTTTGACAATCCCCAAATTTTATTCCATGAGAAAGACTTATTTAAACGGAGCATGGCAGAATCAATGTTAATAGTTCGGACTAACAATAGCATAAATCTAAGAACCGACACAAATATTTTACATGACACTTATATAAACATCATTAATAATTTATAAATTTTTTCATTTATCTTATTCTTTTCAATAAATTAATTTGTTTTTTCATTTTTATCGATTTTGAATGCGATAGCACTCCTTCTGTTTACATTATAATGATACCCTCTCTGTCTCCATCTATATAAGTACTTCAAATTTGTTTAGAATATTTCTGTAAGTGTTATATGTTTCTTTAGTACGGTGTCAAGCATTGCAAGGAATAGTTGGTGTTTTTTGTATACCAAAAATTAAATGAAATTTAAATAAATTATTAAAGAATGTGTAGTATATAAGTAACTGTTTTTGAAATTACACTGAAGATGAGACACACCATGGTCTCGAAACGTCTGTAATCATAAAATAAAGTTGTGTTAAACAAATCTGAGTGCTGTTTTGTTCATATTAAACAATTAATATATATATATCTATATATATAAAAGAGGATCGCCTTATGTGCTACCACTTATAACTCACGAACGGCTGAACCGATTTAGATGAAAATTGGCATGGAGGTAGCTTAGAGTCAGGAGAAGGACATAGGATACTTTTTATCCCTTTATTTCATTCTAATTTAAAATTAATTATTTATAAACTATCCATGTAGTTTATTCAATCTATGATACTATCAATGATTTCATCCATGACATTTGCATTCGATTGTCAAATGTCATTCGGTGTTTCTAACCTCTATTACCTCATGTTGAATATTAGTTAGTGAATGAATATTAGTTCTTGGTTTTATATATATATATATATATATATATATATATATATATATATATATAAATAAGGTGAAGTGAAGTTTCATTAATAATGCCGCGACCAAGACGATCGAATCTTTCCCGACAAAGCAGTAATGCAAGAAGACTGCAAAATACTGTAAATGCAAGAACTGAAGAACAAGAAAGAATTGCACGTGAACAGCAACGCGAAAGAATGGCTCGACTTCGTGCTCGAGGTAACAACATAGATCAACAAATAGTTAACTTGCGATGCAGAAGAAGAAATTTGAATCGAGAATCGAAATTTGAAGAATTGCAGCTATGATTATAGCTTGCATCCTAGCGTCTGCATTGGCAAAATGGACGTAGTTTGCAAGTATTGTGGTGCATTGAAGTTTTCCCAAGAAACGCCTGGATTATGCTGCCTTAATGGTAAAGTCAAATTGCCATCGTTGACTCCGCCACCTGAACCATTGTATTCATTGCTTTGTGGCGAAACACAAGAATCACGCCACTTTCTTGCTAATACTCAAAAATACAATGGTTGTTTTCAAATGACGTCATTTGGAGCAGATATTATCGAAGAACGAGGATTTAATCCGACATTTAAGGTACTTATTTTTGTACCTATATAGAATGTAGTTAAAGAATAACTTACTTCATCTATTAGCAAATTCTTAACTTTTTCTCCCACCGAATAAAGATTTTATAACACAGTTAATACTGTCGGGTTTTTATTTTGTAGATACAAGGACAAATTCATCATCGAATTGGATCATTACTACCTTTTGAAGATACACAGAATAAATTTTTACAAATATATTTCATGGGCAACATGGAAGAACAACTTGATCGACGACTAGAGATCAATGCAGAATGAAGCGAGCAATTCTTCACGACTTACAGTGTCTGCTTCATGAACATCATACGTTGGTCAGGTTGTTTAAGAGTGCTTTAGAGCTCATGCCAAGTGATGACTATAAAGTTGTCATCAGAGCAGATAAACGATCATCTGGAACACACGAAAGGACATTTAATGCTCCAATAGTAGACGAAGTTGCCATCCTGATTGTTGGTGAACAATTGGAAAAACGCGATATTGTGCTTTCACGTCGCGATACTGGGCAACTGCAACAAATATCTGAAACACATCGATCATATGACTCATTGCAATACCCGCTGATGTTTTGGCAAGGAGAAGATGGATATTATTTCAATATTAAAATGAAAAATCCATTGAATGGTGAGAATGAGTATCATAATTTATTTCATTTATTTGTAAAAGACACTGATTTAAAAAAAAGTTTTTTGAAAAAATGATTAATGTCTGTATTGTTTGCCTTTAAAATTTGCCTGTAAAATAAATAATTTTCAATTTTTAAATTTCAGGCGAAGAAACTATAAAGAATGTTAGCTCGATGAATTATTATGCATATCGTTTGATGATTCGTCAAAATGCTGACAACTATTTGCTGCGGTTTCGTCGATTGTTTCAGCAATATTGCGTTGACATGTATGTAAAAATAGAAACGGAACGTTTAACATTCATTAGGTTCAACCAAGCCAAACTGCGTTCTGAGGACATCCATTTACGTGATGCAGTTAGTACTGAAGGAAATGCAGCTAATATTTGTATTCAATCGAATGGCAAAAGCGAGGCTTGCCACACGCACACATTCTTATTTGGTTAGTGGAAAGAATTCAGCCTGACCAAATAGATGACATCATATGTGCCGAGATTCCTGATTATGAAGTCGATCCAGACCTACATGATGTTGTTACTTCTAATATGATTCATGGACCGTGTGGTGCCGTCAATCCCCAATCACCTTGCATGGTCGATGGAAAGTGCTCTAAACGATATCCACGGCAATTAACAGCGGAGACTGTCACTGGCAATGATGGTTATCCGCTTTATCGTCGTCGATCACCAGATGACAATGGTCAAGCTGTCACAACAAAAGTGAAAAGAATGGATTTCGTTGTTGACAACAGTTGGATTGTTCCATATTCGCCGCTAATTTCTAAAACGTTCAAGACGCATTGCAACATTGAATACTGTAATTCAGTTAAGTCCATCAAATATATTTGCAAATATGTCACGAAAGGCAGTGATATGGCTGTTTTTGGATTGCAATCCTCGAATGACAACGATGAAATTTCACGCTATCAAGTTGGTCGTTATGTGAACTGTAATGAAGCGATTTGGCGTATATTCGCATTTCCCATTCACGAACGTCATCCTACTGTTATGCATTTGGCGGTGCATCTGGAGAATGGTCAACGAGTATATTTTACGGCTTCAAATGCTATGCAACGTGCTGAAACACCTCCAGCAACTACATTAACCAGTTTTTTTGCAATTTGTCAAAGAGATCAGTTTGCACAAACTTTGCTTTACTCGGAGATGCCACGTTATTATACTTGGAATGCTTTATCGAAGAATTTTCAAAGACGGAAGAAAGGCAATGCGGTTCCTGGGTATCCAGATGTGCGTTCTACTGAAGCTCTTGGTCGAATGTATACAGTTCATCCAAAGAATATTGAATGTTTTTATTTGCGGCTGTTGCTGGTAAATGTGCGTGGGCCAACATCATTTGAGTCACTACGAACTGTTAATCATGTAATATTTCCAACATATCGTGCTGCATGTGAGGAATTGAAATTATTAGAAAACGATAGTCATTGGGATACGACAATCGCTGAAACCATTATCTCTGCATCTCCAAGCCAGATACGCACATTATTCGCTATAATTATTTCGACATGTTTTCCATCAAATCCATGTAACCTGTGGCACAAATACAAGGAAATATGTCAGAAGATATTTTACATCAAATTCGTGTTAGTTCTAGAAATTTCGATATTGAGATGAATGAGGAAGTACACAATCGTGCTTTACTCTTGATCGAAGATATCTGTTACCTCATGTGCGGTAATTTATTAATCAGGTTAGGCATGCCAGCACCATGTCGTGAAATGAATGACACATTTAATCGAGAATTGGAACGGGAACGTGAATATGACCACCAGGAATTAGATTTAGTAGTTCAAACAAATGTTCCCCTGTTGAATTGCCAACAAAAGGAAGTTTATGATACTTTAATGAAGGCAATCGATGATGAAAATGGTGGTTTATATTTTCTAGATGCTCCTGGTGGAACTGGCAAGACATTCCTCATGTCATTAGTTTTAGCAAGTGTTCGGGCGAGATCAAACATAGCGGTTGCAGTTGCTTCTTCTGGAATAGCAGCCACATTGTTAGAAGGATGCCGTACGGCTCATTCTGCATTCAAATTACCGTTAAATCTTCAAACTATTGAAGAACCAACGTGTAATATTGCAAAACACTCAGCAATGGCCAAAGTTTTAGCGGTATCGAAAATCATCATCTGGGACGAATGCACAATGGCGCATAAACGTGCATTAGAAGCACTTAACCGAACATTAAAAGATTTACGCAATGACTCAAGATGTTTCGGAGGAGCAATGATTTTACTGTCTGGCGATTTCCGCCAAATACTGCCAGTAATTCCAAGATCTACAGCTGCCGACGAAATAAACGCTTGCCTCAAATCGTCAAATCTATGGCGCTATGTGAAGAAACTGCAACTGACAACAAACATGAGAGTTACATTGCTTAATGATACATCTGCTGAAGTTTTCTCGAAGCAATTGCTGAGTATCGGTAATGGTCAAGTACCTGTCGATGAATCGAGCGGATTAATATCATTTCCAAACAATTTTTGTAATTTTGTCTCATCAAAAGACGAACTTATCAACAATGTATTTCCAGAAATTGTTTCTAATAGCAAAAATAATGAATGGTTGAGTGAGCGGGCAATTTTAGCAGCAAAGAATAAAGATGTAGATGACCTAAACCACATAATTCAAAATAAAATAATTGGAACAATGCTTTCATTCAAATCTATTGATTGCGTCACAAATGAAGATGAAGCCACCAACTATCCAATTGAATTTTTAAATTCTTTGGACGTGCCTGGCTTACCACCGCACAATTTACTCCTAAAGGTTGGCTCCGTAGTAATAATGCTTAGGAACATAAACCAACCAAAACTGTGCAACGGTACGCGTTTGGTGGTTACAAAATTGATGAACAATGTAATTTACGCTACCATAATGATAGGAAAATTTAAAGGTGAGGAAGTTCTCATTCCGAGAATACCGATGATCCCAACCGATCTGCCGTTTGAATTCAAAAGAATTCAATTTCCAATACGTCTCGCATTTGCCATGACCATCAACAAATCACAAGGGCAATCCTTAAAAGTTTGTGGTTTGAATTTGGAACATTCATGTTTTTCCCATGGTCAACTATATGTGGCATGTTCACGGGTCGGAAAACCATCTGCGTTGTTTGTTTTTGCGCCTGATAACAAAACAAAAAATGTTGTGTATAAGAAGGTACTTCAATGAAGAGGCACTAAAATGAATAAATCATTATGAATGATTAATGTTGCTATTTTATTTCTATTTTTATTTTTTCCATTAAAAAAAAAAGCTTATTTATTGCCATTATGGCGGAACAAAGTTCGCCGGGTCAGCTAGTATATATATATATATATATATATATATATGTATATATACATATATATATATATATATGTGTGTGTGTGTGTGTGTGAGGATTATATGCCCATATATAATCATTCTTACTTTTATGTATTGTTTCAACGATGATATCAAAGCATCACAAACGCGAGGAATAATTTTTGAAATCGATTGTTTTGATATATGAAACAAACACTGTAAGCTTGCGTAACTATCCCCAGTAGCCAAAAATCTTAAAGTAACAGCCAATTGCTCCTTGACTGATATGCAGTATCGAAATGACGTATCTTTTTTCCAATTTTGGGTCCTACCATATCAATAAGTATTTGAAAATCTTCTACTGGCATTCTCATAAAATTTCGGAAATGACCAGTGTTTTCATTGAAAATTAGTGGCCTAAGTACATAATTTGGGGTTCTAAATAAAGGCGCCATCCAATAACGGCGTTTTGTTGCAGAAGACTTTGTAGAATCTTCGTTCAGGAGCCAATATGCCATCAAAATGATATTCGAGTCTGGCCTGCGGTCACACATTGTAAATAAATGCCTGGAAATAAAGTGTTTATTTCGAGACTCAAAATCAAACGCTTGAACATAAACCGATCAGTTTTCTTCTAAGCTGAAATTTAAATACAATATGAATACATGTTAATAAATTATTTATCGTTATTAATAACATCCACCTTTACTTTCATTAACTATGCTTTAATAGCTCAACAAATTTTCACTAACACTTATATAAAAAATAACAACAGCAAACTGTACTCGCAATCACCAACTTAAAAACATCTACTTAAACGTCAAATGTCAAATTGCTCGCAGTGTGCGTCGCGCACAAGAGCCAACGCATGCGAGCGTCGCGAACAGGATTCGCCACATAGATTCGTGCAGTGGGGACGAAGCATAATATAGCTAAATGATGTTCTGGCTGAAGACGTCTTGCTGTCATTTTCCTCAATCATTAACTGGGTTGACCAAAACGTACTACTAGAGCTTTGCGATATCGACGTACCATCACAATTTAAATGTAATTTAATTTTGGTACATTTTTGTCATTGCTCTAATAATAGAGCTTTCAACGCTAAAATGTACATATGAACACCCCATTAACTACCTGAATGCTTCCAGTAGCATATCTAGGTGTTCCCATTAATGCTCGTACATCGCATGGAAAGAAAGCATCAAGTCCATGATGCTTACGAGGAAGGTAATGTTTAGATCGTTTACCCAATTACGCAAATCATCCTGAAGGGTTGTTGACTTAGCGGCATCAATGTTTTTGCTGACCGATTGTTGCAAATTGCCATTTATATTTGATGATGCTAAATCATTATTATACGACGTTGAAGACATGTTGACAATGTCAGCAATCTCCATACTATTTTCTACAATAACCTTGCTATTTACACCTGCAGTATGTGCAATATTTTCTTCGCTCACTTCTTGATTGCAATATGTTCTGTATTCTTGATTTCTTTGCGAAATTATTTGTCGAATCCTTCGTTTGAATAAATCCCTTAATGGTTTGCGATTATTCAATTTCCTACGATCCATTTTCTACTATTTTATTAAAAAATACTTTAAAAAATTGTTTCATATTAATGGTTATTGACAGCTCTATAAAACTCCACAGAATAAGTCTCTATACATTCTCTATATTTCTTATCCAGCTTTGGTCAGCCTGACAAGGCCGCATTCATCTTCCATCTTCGCCTAGAATCTTTTGTATCTACGTCGTTTGTTGGCGTGGCTTCGTTTTGTTTCAATTAGTTTTCTCGTTTGTGCAATCGTAAAATAAATGATCTTAAACATCATCTTACTTAATAGGTAAATGCAGTTATTTTTTCATGTCTTATTAGTAGTTAGTAACATCTCATCAAACGTGATTATTCTGATTTAGAAGATTTTTGAATGTTTATGTAACCTATTTATAAATGGCTTTATAGAGAATGCTTTATAGTGTTTCAGAATGTATACGCACGCTGTTATAATTTTTTCAAAGAAGAATAACTGGTCTGAAGTACCTGTTAGTTGGTTGATCAAGGACAAAAATGGTAAAATAACGAAATTCTGGTGGCCGCCAATATTAAATTCTTCATTGATAGTCAAAAGTTCAAAGCCGGATGAAGAATCTTGGAAGGCGGTAGATGTTTCATTGGTGCGATATTTCAGTAAGTGTACATGTTAAAGCCAAAAAACAATATAGTTTCAGTTTAAAGTCAATTGATTTGCTTAGGTTCTTATTTCAAAGCGAGGGCTTACGCTAAAGATAGCCCTCGTCAGAAGAAGAAGCTTTGGGGAAAGAATGTCGGCTTAAAAAAACCCAAAATTTTAGACCTAAATGTTGAAGATAGTATGTAAAATAACCTACATATCATGATGATATACTAATATATTAATAGACAAATAACAAAAATATTTTAGATATTTCTCATGAAGCATTTATCGAATTCGACTCTCCAAGGTGTTACACTAGCGGCGTAGCACCCTTATGTGATACGCCTTCGAATGTGGGAGATAATTTGAGCCCTCTTCTCATGATTCCACAGTCACATCAGTTCCATAATTTAATTAAGCAAGTTTGTGAACGTAGCACACGAACTGATGCAAGTTGTTTCACTAAAAAAATTGTAGTGAATAGTGGTAGAGGCCATAATATAAATATCAAATTTGATTATTTAATGAAGGAAATTGCTTCGATGAACGTTAAGCTGGAACAGTTGAAAACGCTGATAAGACTTCAGCAAAATTTTTAAACAGTAACAACATGTTCAAAGGATTGTTTCCTTTAAACACACAAGAACAAATCGATTGTTGTGAGGACCTTTTAAAAGAGGATGTCTGTGTGATAGAATTGGTATACTTACATTGTATTCACAATAATTATATAACTAAGATGATTTAGTACTAACTTACAATATTTTTATTTTAGCAAAATTATATTTTAAAAGTAGGAGGACAAAAAAAAGTGAAATATGTCCGAAACGCATTCAATAAAGTCTTTACAAAGGAACTGGCTGCTGAATGCTCATGGTATGGCAGAAAGGAAAACATAGCTGTTAACAACTTAAAATTGATGATTATAATTAAAGGTGAGATTACCCAAAATTATACAAATGTTTCAAATTCACAAGTTGTTCTTAATGTTTTTAACCTGATTGGTTCAATTTTAGTAACATTAACAAATACTGTTAAAAACCTGACCGAATCAGATTTAATTGCAATTGCTGTCGAATGGTTCCGTTTTGGGAAGCAGAGATTGATAAGGGAGCAAAATAAAAAACAATCATAATATAATTTCTCA